ACATGACTCCTGGATACTGCAACTGTTGTAAATATGAATCAGCTGCCAAGCATTTGAATTTTGATCATGTGACAATGGGGATGCTACAACAGTTGTAAGTATGAAAAACAGTCATAGGTCTTTTTTTTCAGGACTGTTGTAAATTGGAATGGTCACTAAATGAATAGTTGTAAGCGGTGGTGGGATTCAAATACCTGAACAACTGGTTCTCTGCGTGAATGCAGGCCTGGGCCTCCGAGGCCTAGAACGGACTTCTAGAAGTGGCATCCACGTACTTCTGGCAGGCTGTTCTAGGCCTGGGGAGTCTCCTCTAGGCCTCCGAGGCCTGGAACAAACTTCCGGAAGTGGCATCCATGCACTTCCAACAGGCCGTTCTAGACCTCCAAGGCCTCCTCCAGCCTCCCAGGCCTAGGACAGACTTCCAGAAGTGACATCCACACACTACCAGTGGGGCGTTTTAGGCCTCCGATGCCTCCTCAAGGCCTCTGAGGCCTAGAATGGACTTCCGGAAGTGGCATCCACACACTTCTGGCAGGCCGTTCTAGGCCTGGAAGGCCTCCTCCAGCCTCCGAGACTTAGTAAAGACTTCCGGAAGCAGCGTGCATTCAGCTGGTTCTCCGAACTCAACAAAATTTAGCTACCAGTTCTGCCAAACCGGCATGAACTGGCCGAATCCCACCACTGGTTGTAAGTTAAGGACTACTTGTACCCATCTGAAGGAAACAGGCTAACCTGGGGCAGAGTATGGTGGAACTGATAACAGAAATTCTCACAAAGGCTCCTATAAACCATTTATTATCTTCTACTTGAGGGAACTAATAATATGGCTGGTCATGACACTTCTGTGATAAAATAAAATAGAATAGAATAACAGAATTGGAAGGGACCTTGGAGGCCTTCTAGACCAACCCCCTGCTTAGGCAGGAAACCCTGTACCATTTCAGACAAATGGCTGTCCAATCTGTTCTTAAAAACATCCAGTGTTGGAGCATTCACAACTTCTGGAGGTAAGTTGTTCCACTGATTAATTGTTCTCACTGTCAGGAAATTTGAAAAAGAAAAAATGGCTGAAGTGTATAGCTTTCAAGGAAAAAGTAGCAAGAGATTTAAAAACTTTTCTTCCCTATTGTTCCTTCTCTGCAACGGGCATGTCCTCGAGGCACCCCTGACCCATTTTGAGCCGAGAGGAAGCACGTTTATCGTTCGAGCAAGTGATGCGGGAATAAAACCCTTCTCATCTGTCATGTCCTCTGATCGCTCTTTGGGTTGCACAGAAAGGATAATCCAGGTTCCCAGGTGATCTGTGTTTGCTTCCAGCTATCTAGACTCATCCTTGTACATGAAACATTTGTTTGCAAACATCTGCTAAACCAGAAGAGGCAAACTCATTAAAGAGCCATGATTAGCCGGGGCTCTCTGCTGTGGGTTGAAAGCCCAGGGTGTTATCCAAAATAGACAAGCATCTGATGATGCCCTTGTAGGAAAGCAGATACGGGTCAATACATTTGGCACTGATTTTTCCTCTTCTTGTCTTTAACGAATTAACACGATACATATTCTAGGATGGTTCACATCAAGAGAGATTTGTTGCAAGAAATAAAAGCATTCTTGGCACCAACAGAAGAGAATGCCCAGGGCTGAATTGTGGGGTGCTTTGTGCTCCCTAAAGTTTGGTTGTTTTCTTGCAGACGCTTCATTATCCAACTAGGTAATATCATCAGTGTTAACCCCACTTCCCTTCTAGGTCTGATGATGTTATGTAGAAATGTCTGCAAGAAAACAACCAAGCTCAGAGAGTACTAAGGAATCCATAAAAATGACATTTATCTAATTCCACCTTGCAATATTTGCACTGACTCTCCATCAGTTATGGAATCACTCAAATATATTTTTTTTCTCTTGAGAATTATAACACGGTGAGATTATTCAGATCCCAAGGCCTACCCTTTTATATAACTTCTAGACCCAGTGGCTTTCAACCTTAGTAACTTTAACATGACTGGACTGCAACTCCCAGAATTCCCCAGCCGTCTATGCCAGAATTCCCCCAGTCTCAACCATCTATGGTTGGCTGTGGAATTCTGGGAATTGAAGTCCAGACATCTTAAAATTGCTAAGGTTGAGAAACACTAGTGTAAAGGTATGATTTTTCTGCAGCAGTTTTAAAAAAAAAAGACATCCAAGCAGATGTATTCATTCTGTTGAAATCTTTTCCAATGCATCTGGAATAGGAATAGGAATATCCACAATTGCATCCTCCATCCAATTGTAGCCCAGACAAAAAAGCAGAGAAGAAATTAATAAACCTTTGGAAGTTTTCCCTTTCCTTTAAGCGGGAAGCCAGCCTATAGATTACCCCATTATTAGGCTGCTTCGATTTTCATTCCCCCCCCCCCACGTTTTGCCTGGAGATTCGGCTGGATGCAGCAAGAAAACGTAAAGCAGTTTGGAAAGGCTGTGGATTTACACTCCTTGTCATGAGCATTTCGCTGTCTAAAATAGCCCTGGAAGTTTGGAAAGCAAAAATGGCAGCAGGGTGGACTTGCTTTAATTGTGCCCTGCGTCTGAAGAAAGCGATAATCATGTTGAGAGAAGAGAATATTTGCAGCTCGGGGTTAAGATGTAGGGTCCTTGATGCTCTCTGAGCTTGCGTCTCTTGCAGACGCTTCATGACCCAACTAGGTAACGTCATCAGTGCGTCAGTCTTCAAGAAAACAGCCAAGCTTGGAGCAGCAGCAAGGACCCCACAACGATTTCAATATTTTCAGTAGAAATACCAAAGGCTCTTGGTAGCACTCTGTCCTATTTAAGTTTGCATGGAGCATAGTCTGTTTTATTCTCCAGGGCATGTCAATTATCCAATATATCCTCACCAGACATGTTTCTTAAAACCAGTGCAGAAGAAAAGAACATGCACAATTTGAGGGGGGGGGGAGAGGAAGAGGCGACCTAATCACTACAGGTAGTCCTCAACTTACGACCAGAATTGGGACCAGAATTGTTAAGCATAGTGGTTGTTAAATGAGCGGTGTCTGATTTTAACACCTTGTGGCCACAGTTGTTAAGCGAATCACTGGAGGAAGGTGAATCACACGATCGTTAAGCAAATCCAGCTTCTCTTGTTGACTTCGCTTATAGGAAGCTAGCTGGGAAGGTGGCAGAGAGTGATCACGTGACCTCCAGGATGCTGCAAGCATCATAAATACATGCCAATTGCCAAGAACACCTAAATGTTGATCACATTAACTGTAATGGTGGTTGTAAGTGCGAGGACTGGGCGTCCGTCCCTTTTTTCAGTGCCATTTGTCAAGGTATTAATTTAATAACTAAACAGCTTATGTAATGATGTAATGTAATATAAAGTGGATGATGCAAGGATAGGAATGACTCAGCAGGGTCTGTGTCTCTTTAAGAGCAAGCAGGGTCTGTATCCCTTTAAGAACGTGAGTATAAAATGGAAGGCTTTTGCTGCAGTGTCTCTCTCGTCTGCTTTCTGCTGTAACTGCTTTGTGTTGGAGTTTGCTGTATTACCACATGTATGTATCTTGTTCCTAGTGTATTTTGTAGATAGTGTAATATAAACCACCATTTAATATAGACCACTGTTTACTGTATTTACTCCTGGATTATCTCAATGCAATAAGACTGTGCATGCTCTGACACCATTGTAATTTCGAACGGCCACTAAACAAATAGTTGTAAATCGAGGACTACCTGTACTAGAATTTTGAACAATCAAGGTTTCTAGGTTTGCAATTAGTGGCGAATATCCGTAGCTCGGGTGGAGGATGTGGGGGAAGGTTCATTCTCCAAGTTTGTGGGTTGGTTTTCCAAATGTTGCATTACCAGGCTAGCTAACATCTTCAGCGGAGTTTAGGGGATGTGAGTGTCAGTTTTCAGTAGGTCTTGTGATGATGAGGTCACGTCAGGTGAGGGTCCCATCAGGTGAGGGTCTTGTGATGGGTCTTGGTCTTGTGATTGGTCCGGTCACAAGATGTTGACCTGATAGGACCCTCACCTGATGTGACCTCACCATCACAAGACCTACTGACCACACAAAGCCCTTATAAACGGAAGAACACAGACACGCACATCCCTTAAACTCCACTGAAAATGTTAGCTAGTCTGGTAATGAAACGTTCGGAAACCTACCCACAAGCTCGGAGAATGAACCTTCACCCTCAGGGTTTCTAGGTCCATTCAGGCCAAACAATTAGGGTTCTCCATGTCTATTTAATCCAAACAATCAGCAATTCTATTTTGGTTTTGCATTTCTGGTGAGGCCCTAGAGCATCTGGGAAAGGATCGCATAATATTCCCAGGCCTTTTCTAAATTTTCTAAATAGCAAAATTCCTTTTCCAATCTTTCCTCATGTGGGCATCGTATTCACATACAAAGACCAAGGAGCCTGAGAGATCCACAAAGAGTAGCCAAAACTGAGGGGGAAACCACACAGTTGAGCTAGACAGAAATTCAAATTACCTACTGCTTAGTTAAGGGCGACAAGGGACAACTCAAATCTCACACAATCACAAGGTAAGGCAGAAGGCGGTGGACAGACAAACAGCAAAGGGGATCAAACATGATGTTTCTAAATGATCAGACAGACAGAAAGAAAGAAAACAGAATGAAATCCTGGCCTTGTTTTTTGGACAGGATGAGGCAAAAAAAAAAAAAATTACGATAAAGAGAAAGAGTGGCACAAAGGAAATTCCTCCTGGTTATCCACTCCAAATCTTAGTTATCCCTCTCCGATTCTAGTTTGGCTCATGTTTCTAACCATTCACTTACTGAGTTAAATCTCTTTTAAGATTTAAAGAGCGCAACCTCCTTATTATCTGAAGAGACAGCCAGATGGGATCATAACTGTCTCTATCCTGTATATAATGTGATTATCCAAAGGCTTATACACTACCGAGGCCCTAATCCCAGCATCAAAATCATGTTCCTGGAAGCCAGCAAATCAATCAAAGGCACTCAGTAAAGATGAATATCTGACCTGGGGTAGTCATCTTCCACTAGCATGTGCTTTGGGATAGGTGAGTATCTTCCAGGCGAGATGGGGGCCAAAGAGGTCTTGTATTCTAAAGTGCCGTTGTTGCCTGGAGACAGGATGTGGTTTTCCATTGATGGGGAATAAGCTGCAGGTTAAAGAAGACATGCAAAGATAGTTAGATAAGATAAGATAAGATAAGATAAGATAAGATAAGATAAGATAAGATATGATAAGATAAAATAACCTTTATTGTCATTTTTATACTGAGGGCACAATGGCACACATCAAAAATGAAATTTAGTTGCCCGCTCTCAAAGTGAAACACATACATGACACACACCCAAACATACTATGAACAACATATGTATAGACCCACATCCCTACACATACGTAGCAATAAATATTAAATACTGTCCATCTTGAATATATAACGGAAGGAGGAAGCTTGAGAGTTCGCAAGGTTAACGCTGTATGGAATGAAACTCTGGCTGAATCTGGATGTTCTGCTTCAGATACCACGAAGCCCCTCCTCCCAGAAGGTAGCAAGGAAAACAGGTCGTGAAGAGGATGGGTAGTGCCCCAGATAATCTTGCGGACCCTGCTCAAGCAATGCTTTTGTGCTATCTCCTGGATGGAAAGGAGGGAACTGCCAATGATCTTTTCAGCCATTCTCACCACTCTCCGCACCGCCTTCCTGTCTGAAGCAGTGATGCCTCCAAACCAGACTGTGATGCTGTATGACAGGATGCTCTCGATTGTCCCCCTGTAGAATGTGGTGAGGACAGGGGAAGGAAGATGTGCAGGCCGAGATACTACAGAAAATTCTGTAATTCATCTGGTTTTGTAAATATGAATACATGGAAAGGATTTTAGGAATTTTAAGGGATCAAGGCTTAAACCAGGGGTCTCCAACCCTCGGGCTATGGCCTACTTACTACTGGGCCATGAACCCTTTGGAACCGGGCCGTGGCAGTGGCGGGCGTGTGTGCATGTGTGCATTCCCACTTGTGTGAGCAGTGGGCAAGCATGTGCATTCCATTTGTGTGAGTGGCACACGCGCTTGCCCGAACTAGTGCAGAACCATCCCCTCTGCCCCCACCCCATCTTTGACAGTCCACAAAGCCAGAAAGGTTGAGAAACTCTGGCTTAAAGTATTGAATGACTGGCATTTACCATTAATACTCTTCAAAGGTTTAACTAAGGCTCAGATGCTTGGCTGTAGACCCTCCAAAGAGATGTTTGTAACAAAAGAACAGAATATTTGTATCTCAGGGTTGAACTGTGGGATCCTTGGTGCTCTCTGGGATTGGATGTTTTCTTGCGGACATTTCATTACCCAGGTAGGTAGCATCATTAGTGCTGGAAGGGAGTGGGCTTTGCTTTCTGTTTATATACAAGTGGCTCACCCCAGTGGTAGGATTCAAATACCTGAACATCCGGTTCTCTGCATAGATGCAGGCCTGGGCCTCTGAGGCCTAGAATGCACTTCCGGAAGTGACATCCATGCACTTCCTGTGGGCTGTTCTAGGCCTGGGAGGCCTCCTCCAGGCCTCCGAGGCCTAGAACAGACTTCCAGAAGTGACAGCCATGCACTTCCGGCGGGCTGTTCTAAGCCTAGGAGGCCTCCTCCAGGCCTCCGAGGCCTAGAACAGACTTCCAGAAGCAGCATGGGTTCAGCCGGTTCTCCAAACTCAACAAAATTTAGCTACCAGTTCTATCGAACCGGTGCAAATTGACTGAATTCCACCACTGGCTCACCCTGTCAATTTTGGTGGGAGTATTCTTGGTGCTTTCTTTTTTTTTTAATAAATATTTTATTAATTTTCTATTTTTACAAACAAGTGCTTTATAGACAATGTGTTGACTGGGTCCATTAATAATTCCATGGTACATATAAGCTTCTTCAAACTAAATCCAATATTACACCATCCAATATCTCCTCTCTTCTTCCAGTAATAAAACATTTTTCCACATTAAGCAAACACAATTCTTATTGTTGTTAATAGATATACAGTTGAATATCAGCATTTATTAGTTTTCTAATTGTATCAATGATATCAGTTTAAAATATCTTTTCTAACCAACACATATCTTTTGCATTTGCACTCAATATCCATTTATTCAGTCAGTATCCGATTTTTGCTTTTTTTCAGTTTTAATTTCCCATCATATTCAAAATATCCCTATCATTTATAGTTTCAAAACAAGTTATGTTTGGGTAACCAAAAGCTTCCCTTGTTCAAACCTCTTAGCATTTTCTTATTTCCCTTTTCATGCCAAAATATGATATTCTGATTATCCATCTTATCTATCTAGTTATAATAATATTTCTGTTTCTAGCAATCTATTCTTAACCATATTCAAACATCTAATTGATAATATAATATCCCCTCTAATAGGTCAAAGCTTCTGTTTTCTTTAGTCTTACTCTAGCTTTCTTCCTTTGCCAAGTAACTTTCCAAGTCTTGGTGCTTTCTTGATTAGGCTGTTATTAAAACTGATGATGTTACTTAGTTGGGTAATGAACCATCTGCAAATAAACAACCAAGCTCAGAGAGCACCAAGGACCTCTTGTACAATACTAAATTGGTGCCAGGTAAGAGTCAATGGAATTGAAGAGAGGCTGGACTTAAGCCATTTGTGGGAATGTAAAACTCTAGGCTGATGATTCCCTTAACTCCATCCCCCCCACACACTGTTCTCCTCTTCTCCTATGAGTTTTGGAGCAATTTAAGTGATCCTACACCTTGGCTGGATTAACCTCCGTCCCTCCCCCAGAATTATGGTTTCAATCACACAAAATTCTTATCTCTCTTCTCCACAATTACTCACTGAAGGTGCTTCAGGACATTTGATCGAGAATCATTTATTCTGAATCTATTTAGAATTTGACAGCAACATCCAAGAAAGAGCTTGTATATCATAACTTACGATGAGTAATATCTGGAGGGCCATAGGGGTCGGTCATATAGATGGTGGTTGGCTTCCCCACTTTTAAATAGACTACATCCGACGTATTCTTCAATATTGCTACCGCTTCTTCGTGTGTTACTTCTTCTAAACTGTAATTATTTACCTAAATGAGAGCAGAGAGAATGGTGGATTAAGCTGGCCTGATGTGGAAACCGAGCAGCCATTTGTTCACATGCTAATCAAAAGAAGACAACTGTTTACTCAAAGAGTACAGTAAATTATGCCAATTCCGTGTGACGAATAAAGTAGTTTACCATTCAAATGCAGCTTTTCAGATGGCCGGTTCAGGTTATGAATTTTGTACTGAAGAAGCTACGCAGGACTGAATCTATTTAGTAAACGGGTGAGGAAACTATCATAAAATCCCAGAGCTGCAAGCTGGACTGGGAAATAAAAAAACTAAAACAAAATACATTCTTGGAAGAAGATAATGGCGGTGCAGTGGTTAAAGTGCAGTATTGCAGGCAAACTCTGCTCACAGTCGGGAGTTTGATTCTGATAGGGCTTGAGGCTGACTTGGCCTTCTTCCATCCTTCCAAGATCGGTAAAATGAGGACCAGATTGTTGAGGATAATATGCAAACAAATGCTTCTACATTGTAAACTTTCCAGAGAGTGCTGTAAAGCACTATGGGATGGTATATACTATAAGTCTAAATACAATTGCTATTGCTAATGGAAAGTCCAATTGGATCTATTACCTGTAGATCACAATGGGAAATGAGAAGGTACAAACTAGTAAGAACCTGTACGCATTACATGTTATATTTCATCAAGAGCTGTGGTGGCGCAGTGGTTAGAATGCAGTATTGCATGCTAATTGTACTGACTGATGGCTGCCTGCAGCTCTGCAGTTCGAGTCTCACCAGCTCAAGGTTGACTCAGCCTTCCATCCTTCCAAGGTGGGTAAAATGCGGACCCAGGTTGTTGGGGGCAAATATACTGACCCTGTAAACTGCTTAGAGAGGGTTGTAAAGCACTGTGAAGCGGCATATAAGTCTAAGTGCTATTGCTAGTTCTATCACACAATCAATAAAAAATCAGTGCAAATTCTCACCATAAGAAGCCTGTCTCCTACTTGCAACCGTCCATCCTTTTGGGCCGCTCCACCATCAATAATTTTTGTGACATAGATGCTGTTGTCTCCAGGAATGTGCTGATTTCCTACGCCTCCGGCAATGCTGAATCCCAGACCTCAAGGGAAACGGAGTGGAGGATAAGTTTATTGAAAATGAATGACGCTCAAAAGTAAGCTAGGTCAGCCGCCCACATCCAAGAAGGACACGTGATGAACTTCCAAGTGGAGTTCCTTATTGCTCCACAAACAGCATCTTGCAAAACTGAAGCACCCTCCTATCTACAAGAAGCATATACAGGGAATCTTTGACTGACAACAGTTCGTTTAGTTCAGACCATTCAACAGCACTGAAAAAAGTGAGGACCCAGATTGTTGGGGGCAAATATGCTGACTCTGTAAACTGCTTACAGAAGGCTGTAAAGCCCTGTGAAGTGACATATAAGTCAGTGATGGCGAACCTTTTAGAGACCGAGTGCCCAAACTGCAACCCAAAACCCACTTATGCATCGTCGGGTGCCGGGTGGGTGTGGCCCATTGACTGGGTGTGGCCCATTGGCTGGGCGTGGCTGCAGTGGTAATGGCAGACTGGATGGGACTAAAAAGTTCAATCAATCAATTCCAACTTTGCAAGATCTTTTTTTTTCCCCGCGAGAAATTGAAATTGACTAATTTATTGAACCTTTTTTTTTTTTTTTGCACACGACGGCAGAGGCCTAAAGCAAAAAGGTTTTATAAAACCCAGCTGAAGGCCTAGACTGGGGCAACGGTGCACGTGCTCACAGAGAGGGCTCTGAGTGCCGTGTCTCGCACCCATGCCATAGGTTTGCCACCACTGGTCTAAGTGCTCCCAAAGGTGCTTTTTTCAGGAGGCAACTGGACTCTCTTGTTTTTCTTTGAAGACGTTTCGCTTCTCATCCAAGAAGCTTTTTCACCTCTGACTGGATGGTGGGGAGTGGAAAGATTTATACTCCTTGCAGACAGCTGTTCATTTGCATTCTTTTAGAGAGTCGTTAAAGCTACTTGGAGGCTTATCTGTGTCTTCAGGGTCACCTGAGTAGTGCAAATGGATATGGAGCCTTCTTGGAACTGCTGAAAGAACTGTGTTGTAGACTGGAGATAGATGATGTCGGATCCCTCCCCCTCTGTTGAGAGAGGACTGTTCAATTTGGACACAAACGGCCTCTATGACCCTTCTTTCAAACCAGCGGTACTCTCTATCCAAAATGAAAAGAGGGGTCAAAGACCTGGATGACTGAGAATCTCCAAAGACAAGTCTAAGTGCTATTGCTATTCATCTAACTACTGCCTCACTTAGCTAAGGAAGTTCTGGTCTCAACTAGGTTGAGGACTGACCTCTAGTGTGTTTGCCCCATTTTCCATAATTACCTTTTGGTCCTTTGTACAGTTTAATTTCCACCACAGTCTCCAGAATAGGTCTCCTCCGACGGACATACAGTCGTACTATGGAGCCGGCTTCCTTCAGCGCCTCAACAGCTTTGCTGTGGGAAACTTCGGATACATCCACCTCATTCACCCGCAAAATGCAGTCATTGACTCTGGAGGGGAAAACAACAGGAACAGGAGACCAATATAGCATGTTGGGTATGTCAAGTATAATTTAATTTAATTGGGTATGTCTAGTTTAATGAAAAGAAGGATTAGGGGTGACATGATAGCAACATTCCACTATCTAAGGGGCTGCCACAAAGAAGAGGGGGGTCATCCTATTCTTCAAAGCATTGGAAGGCAGAGCAAGATGCAATGAATGAAAAATGAGAGAAGCAACCTAGGAGAAATTTCCTGATAGACAGAACAATTAATGAATGGAATAACGTGCCTCCAAAGGTTGTGGGTGCTCTAACACTTGAAGGTTTTAAGAAGAGATTAGACAACCATTTGTCTGGAATGATATAGAGTCTCCTGCCAAACCAGGGCTTTGGACTAGAAGACCTCCAAAGTCCCTTCCAACTCTGTTATTCTATTCTATTCTATTCTATTCTATTCTATTCTATTCTATTCTATGATGAAACTTTGGCAGCTACGTGCCTCTCCATTTCAACTTGCCTTTAGATTATGGGGAGAGATGTTATTTTCAAATCGGTCAGATAGAGAAACAAAACCTCTACGATTCCGCTGAAGAGCCTGAAGCCTTTTCAAGGACACCAGAACAGGTGTGGATTTAAAGCAGACAGTTCCCATAACAAAGTGAACTTGTTTATATGGACTATGTAAGATGTTGGGGGTTTGGCTGGGAAAATTATTGTTTAAGTCTATGAATTGGTGTTGGAACCTCAGAGTTAGTGTTGCTTCGACATAACCACGCAACGTATTCAATAAACTGTAAGATTTTCGGAAACAGAATTAATCTGAAGTTTTATTTGGATTCTCGAGCTGAATGTTGACAAATGGACTGCAACTCAGATTCAAAGTTCTGACATGGCCACATGATCACATTCTGGGCAATTGACAACTGCTGTTTCTGCATTCTATGATCATATGATCACTATTTACAATGGGTTTTTTTGCCCCCAAAAATGGTTTGTGGCAAAAAACCCCTCCACCCATTGTGGACAATGGATTTGCTTAACAACCACCACATTCAATTAACGACCTTGGTGATTTACATAAAGACTGCTGCAAAAAAAGATCATAAAATCAAGTCTGGTCACACAATTGTCCCAATGTCTATGCAATAATGTCCACCTTAATACACAGTCATGGGCAGGCTTACATTCATAAATTGAGGCCTATCTGTATAGGACAGGGGTAGGCAACCTTGACTCTTTTATGACTTGTGGACTTCAACTCCCAGAATTCCTGAGCCAGCCACACTGAGGAGAAAGGGACAAGTTTCCAAGCTGAGCCATGCTGGCTCAGGAATTCTGGGAGTTGAAATCCACGAGTCATAAAAGAGCCAAGGTTGCCTACCCCTGGTCTAGGACATTGAAATTAATTTAGGTTTACAGTTGTAATTTCCCTAAATATTAATTTGAAATCCAGGCTTATAATTGTCTTTTTAAAGGGCGGAAATCAGGGGTGTCCAAAATCTGGAAGGGATCAAAAGAGGCAGAATAGAATAGAATAGAATAGAATAGAATAGAATAGAATAGAATAGAATAGAATAGAAGCTGGAAGGGACCTTGGAGGTCTTCTAGTCCAGCCCCCTGCTCAAGCAGGAGAACCTATACCATTTCAGATGGTAGAAACAGGCTGAATGATAGGCTGTAAAAGTAAAATGTCGAGGTTTTATGTTATTATCTTACTCTACTGTGCCAAAAGGAATTGGGAGTCAATGTTTTTCTTTTTCTGTCCCCAGTTGCTCTATACCCGTGGTGGCGAACCTATGGCACGGGTGCCCGACTGGGCCCGCAGAGCCCTTTCTGTCGGCACATGCGCCAGAGGGATGTTCCCCTCCCCCTCTCCATGTGGCCTGACTAGTGGGAACTGGAGAGGGCAGGGAAACTGAATCTAGCAGCACTCTCGCGGGAATAGCTGTGAGAGCTGGGCAGGGAGAGGGGAAGCTATAAAAGGAGCAGGTTTTGGCGGGAGTGCAGCGAGAGAGCGAGTGAGCGAGCAGACAGTCTTTGGAAGCGATGGTGGGCGTTGAGTTTGGAGAAGACAAGTAGGACGTGAGCAACATTGAGCTTGCCACGCCCACCCTGGCCACACTCACCCAGTCTGCCATGGCCACTGTAGCCACGCCCACCGAGTGGGCCATGCCCACTCGGCACCCGGTGATACATAAGTGGTTTTGGGTTGCAGTTTGGGCACTCGGTCTCTAAAAGGTTCACCATCACTGCCCTACACTTTTTTCCTTTGCCCCTTTTCTAAGGTGACCAACCATCCTTAGGGAGGACAGTCCTCCTTTTGTGAGTTCTGTCCTCCCTCGAAAAGTGTCCTCCTACATGTCCTCCAACTAATCTGCAGGGCTTTTTTTTCCTCATAGAACGCTCAGAACGGCGTTCCGGCACCTTTTTTTGATGTTTTTTTTTTCAACTTTTGTATGCTACTCCCCCTATTGGCTTTCGATAGCCAATAGGAATTGCTGCTGAGCGCGCCAAACACCCGGCCGGCAAACTTTGCACATGTAAGTTGTCTGCAGCGAAGGCGAATTGGCAGGAACTTTGCACCCCTCCCTGCTACCCAACTACACCATCTCCTAGTTAGTCCCGAAGATACCTGGAGGAGACTGGAGTGGCGACGCCACGGTAACTTTCTCTTGATCTTCGGCCCTGCTAGGGCAATAATGGCTGCGGGTGCAAGAGGAAGGGTCAGCGGGGCTGCTGCGGGCGGGAGTGTGAGGGGCAGTGGTGGCTGGCTGCCCCCCACACTGTGGGAGCCGCGGGGCCTGCTCTACACAGGGCTGTGCAGGATGGGTGGTGGTGCTGATGGGGTGGCTGCAGGTGGGGTGTATTGACGGCGGGCTGCCCCCCCCCCCAGGGCTGGAGCCATGGGGCCCACTCTACCCGGCGGGGCAGCAGTGCTGGCGGAGTGGCTGCGGGCGGGGGTGTGGCATGTAAGCATAATTACAATATAAAATGTTATTGTTACAAATGGTTATTATTATGCATTTATCATATTATAGTGTATTCTGTATTACTGTTGCAATGAATAAAATGTTTCTTTTATTTACAATATTTTTTTCTTCAATTTATTTATGTCCTCCTTTCCACTGCAAAAAAGTTGGTCACCTTACCCTTTTCCTCTCCTATTTTCCCATTATCTTCATTTTTTTTTTTTTTTACAGGTTGCCCCTGACGTGAAAACCACAATTTGGCCTGACTGTTGGATTTTTGAATCCAGATTATAAATACCTCCAGGCAGGTCCATCTTAATGTCAAATGGTTGCTAAGCGATCATTTATAAGTTGAGGACTACCTGTATGGCAGCTAGAATTTCCAGCTTTGCACAGCCAGCCTGGTGGCTTCTGTTAAAAAAAAAACCTGGTTGTCCAATGGGATAGCTTTATTTGCTATGTAAATAGTAAATTTATTTAAAGCCCATTTATTAAATGGGCTTCTAAATAGTATTGTTGTCCGGGTGGTTCCCAAACATAAAATAAGAAAACATATTTTTATTTAAGTTGTGCCTTAAGACAGCAAACTACAGAATGAAAAATCCCAGCAGGACAGGAAAAATAATAATTAAAAACTAGGCACTCACTATTTTTATACTTAGTTAAATATAAGCTATAGCTCAGCAGAAGGTGAAATAAACATTCTTAGTATTCATAACAATTTGCTAGGAAAAATCTCAGGCTGGAGCAATTACAAAATACCATGCAATCTATATAAAAACAAATTAAACTGCTTTCCACCGAATAAACGATGTGTGATCGGAAATAGATCTCAGTAGACATGATTAAGACAGAGGGAACAGCAGCACAAAATTTTATTTCCATTTTGGAGGTGAATAAGCTTTGCTAATCACGCATACCACACACACACTATTTGAAGACATACTTTAACTGACAAAATAAAAAAAGTTCCAGTTTTGCTCTGTGATTCTCTATTAAGCTAAGCACTAAAGCCAGCGGTACAGGTGTAGCAAGCTTGATGAAGGTGTGGTTCCTGTTTGATGTAATCTCTCTTTCTCTCTCTTTCTCTTTCTTTTTTGGAAAGAGACTAAGAAACACATTTGTCACAACTCTGTGAGTGTTAATTGTCAGTCTGAGCTACATCTGACATGCTGCTTGCATTCTTTTGGGGAGCCCATTTATTTAGACCTCTGAATGGCAAAACTGTCCCAAACAATAATACGGAAACAGACCAAAAATGGATTTAAATGATTTGTCTACTTAGTAAGGTCTACTATGCATTTTTCCCAAACTGAGTAGGGTACAATTATTCTATTCTATTCTATTCTATTCTATTCTATTCTATTCTATTCTATTCTATTCTATTCCATTCCATTCCATTCATTGCTTCTTCTATTCTATTCTATTCTATTCTATTCTATTCTATTCTATTCTATTCTATTCTATTCTATTCTATTCTATTCTATTCTATTCTATTTGGCATCAGAATTTAATGCTATGCAAGGCAGTTGTTAAGTGAGTGATGTCCAATTTTATGACCTTTTTTGCCATGGTTCTTAAGTGAATTACTAGACTACAAGACCTCCAACATCGCTTCTAACTCTGTTATTCTGTTAAATACATGCCAGTTGCTAAGCATCTGAATTTTGTACATTTGACTGTGGGGCTCTTGCGATGGTTGTAAGTGCGAAAACATGTTATAAGTCATTTTTTCAGTGCCATTGTAACTTCAAGCCGTCACTAGATGAATGTTGCAAGTCAAGGACTACCTGTATAAAATAATTCTTTATCGCGCCAATTTCACGCGCCATGGGCTAAACCATCAAATAACACCTATAACAGCCAGGCTTGATTACATGTGAGATTCCTTAAAGTTTTCCCGTAGAGTTAATTGTATCTAAATCTCACAAAGAGGGAATGGATTTGGACACCAAAGAACTCTCTGAACGTCAGTTTGAGCAGCCATCTGTCCACTATTTCAAGCTTTGTCTTGAAGCCACGTACTACCTGTTCCGCTTG